TGAAACCTGCTTTCATCCAGACCGTCCAGGATCAGAACAATCTTGGTTTTGGTATAATCCACTGAATCTTTGAGTTCTGACAGTGTGGGGTGAAATAAAGTTAGGAGCTCATGTAGGCTTTTTTCACCTGAAATCAAATTCAGCTCTCTGAAAGCAAGACTGAAAACAAAGTCAAGATCTTGGTTTTGCTTCTCTTCGGCCCAGTCAAGAATGAATTTCTGTACAGCCAGAGACTTCCCAATGCCTGCAACGCCCTTCGTCACAACTGTTCTGTGGGGTTTGGTTTGGGCAGAAAACGATTTGAATATGTGACTGAGGTTGACTGAACAGTCATTGGATGATTGCGTTTTCCATTTACTTTTGAATTGATGCTCTTCATTTAGTCTTCCACTCTCTCCGGTGGTGATGAACAACATTGTGTAGATGTTCTGGAGTAGATTTTCTTGGTCACCATTACCTTCAAATGTCAGAGCAAATTTCTTTTTCACTGCCTTTTTCAAATTTTCCTTTACTTTGACAAGGAGGATGTTCCCTGGAATCAAACAGAGCAATGTTTTCAGATTTGTAAACAGGAATTTATTACATTTTGTTTAATAAATAAAAGCTGCGTTTGGCAAAATTGTTAAAATTTGGCATCTACCTTTGGCATCCTAAATTTAGATGAAAACTGGAGTCTTAAGGTGTTTTCACACCTATGTTGTTTAGTTCATATAAGTACAACTCTGCTCATTTTCCCCTTTGGTAAAGTTTGTTTGTGCGGGTGTGAACAACAAGTATGATAATCATACTTGAGGAGAAGGTCTTGGTTCGGTTCCAAAGTCCAGATTGGTGCAGTTTGTTTAAAGTGTGAAAAGTGATCCAGCTTCGATTCAACCTAACTACCAGGTGTATTTTCCAAGTTTGAGCTAAACACCTTCCTGTAACTACTTATTCTTTGCATTCTGGACATTGACAGCATTTTAATCCTTGGTGATTTTAATATTCATGTTTTTTTGTCACCAAAAACAACTTTTGGATCTTATTAATTCCTTTAATCTCATTCCGATCAGTAAAGACTCCCACCCATGAGCGCAGACAAACCTTGGACCTAGTTTTATCCTGCGGTCTGCAGCTATAGGATGTTCAAATTTGTAACCTTAACCTTTTGGATCATATGCCTGTCTTATTCAAAATTTCTGTCCCATACTCCTTAGTTAAGCCTCCTCTTCCTGTCCGCCAATACCGCATCATTACACCAGTTACTGCGGA